AAGAAAAATTTTTTTTTCAATGAATAAAGAACTTTTACAAGAATTGTTTTCATTTTTTTAAAATTTTAATTATAATAATTTATAATATATAAACCTTTTAAAATTCTGCATTACTTTAGATGTTGTTATTAAGTAAAAACTATATTTACTAATCAAAAATTGAAAAGCTTAATACAAAGTATTTTGCACCAAGATTTTTAAAACAATCTTTTTTTGTATATAAAATATTATGTAACATTCCTGTTGGAAAGTATGGTCGAGCATAATCCAAAAGAGTGATGATTATAATAAATTTAAATTCAGCATTCTTAAAATTAGATTAGAGAATATTTTCCAACATTTTTAAGATTACTGAGTACTTAAAAATTACATAAAGAAAAAGAGCATTTCTAATTAAATAATGTCTTAGAGTTTGATTGCATTTTTTATTTTATGATTCAGAGTAGATTTTCAATAACTGGGGATTCAGTTTGATAAAAAAAACAAAAAAAACAAACTATTTTCACAAAATTTCATAAAATTAAAGGATATGTCAAAGGTATTTGACAGGGTTTAGCATATTGATCCTCTTCACATGCTGAAAGTGACAGTATTTCTGGACAAATTTTTAAATGGATTCAGTCTATCTTATCAAATTGTGAAATGAAAGTTGCCTTGAATGGCCACTCTTCTAGATTTTGTTGCATTAATGCAGGTGTTCCCCTGAGTTCCATCCTTGGACTTACATTGTTCCTAATTTTTATCAACAAACTTCCTGATGTCATCAGTTCTCAACTTGGCTGACATGAAATGGAAAGATTATATTGAATCAATTACTAGGTCAGCTGCTAGGAAATTTGGTTCACTGTGTCATGCTAGACAATTTTTCTTGCCAGAATCTATCTTACATATTCACAAGTCTACCATTCATTCATGCTTTGAATATTGCTGCCCAATCTAGTCTGGTGTTTCTGCTATATATTTAGAGATTCTTGATAAAAACCAAAGAATAATCTGTTATTGATCCTAACCTGGCATCTCATCTTCAGTCACTTTCACACTGCCATAATGTAGCTTCCCTGTGATTCTTCTATAAATACTTTCATGATAATTGTTCAGATTAACTTTTCTCTATGATACCTAGACTTTATGAATTTAAGCATAGTTCTAGATTGGTGGCAAGGTCTCATGAAATGGTGAGATGTAACCATAAGTTTTATGCTAACAGTTTCTTCTCTTGCACTTCTCACTTGTGGAACTCTCTTCTAGCTTATCACTTTCCAGTCAACTTTGATCTTCAAAAATTGAAATGCGATATTAATTGTTATCTTCTATCTTTTTGTTCTCTCACCTTAATAGTTTCCTTTTTTCTCATATTATTTCACACCCAATAAACCCATGTGTCTTAGTGGTTTTATTGCTTTGCTTGGGGTGAAATGATCAAAAAGAAAAGAATGAATAAAAGAAAAGAATGAATAAAAGAAAAGAATGAATAAATAAAAGAAAAGAATGAAATAAAAAACACTCATCTTTGAAAAATGAAAATAAGAGGAAAAATAAAAATTAAAAACTTTTTTAGCATTTAATAAGAAAAATTTGAATACTAAGAAATTAGCTTAATATTAGTTGGTCAAAAGTTTAAGACCATATTTAAACAAAACTTTAATTGGTAAACATGCAATGAAATTTAGTCATTTGTAGCACAGTCAACATCTCCCACTTGTGTCTTCTGCATTATCTTAGGTAAAAACATGGCAAAGGCTAAAAGGTTGACAGAGTTTGAACATACATAACAGAATTGTTGACCTGCAAAAGCAAGGTCTCTCTCAATGTACCACTGCTGGTGAGATTGGATGTAGTAAAACTGCTTTTGTAAATTTCTTAAAAGAACATGAGGGATATGGAATGAGAATTTCAAGTGGTCAGCCCAAGAAAATTTTGTTGGTGTTGTGCAGGAGGATTCAACGGGTTGTCCAGTAAAACATCAGCCAATCGTCGAACCAGTTTAAGGCCCTTATGGATGCAGAATACAGCTCAAGAACAATAAAATGGCATCTCTGAGAAAAAGGCTTTAAAAACTGTAAGTGTCTTCAAAATCCATGCTCCCTTCCCTTGAGACATAGAAAAGTGGAGGAAGCTTTTGTTCTCTGATGATAAATAGTTTAAGCTAAAATGGTTCAGATGGCTTCCACTGTTACTGGCATGATAAGGATATACCACTGTGTGGAAGACATAGTGAATCAGAACCAGAGTTGAATGGCAGAAATAGCGAACAGGACTTGCTTTATTCTCGATGAAAGCGTTTGTCATGTAGGACTTCAATTTGAGAGAAGGCAAGTACGTTGCTCTGTCAAAAGAAACTCTTCTTCTATGTTGTCCCACAAGAAATTAGTTCATTAGCAACTGTGTATAATATTATTAGCGTGGTTGGATGGAATTATGAGGAGGGACATCTGTGTGTTTTAGTCCTCCATTCTGGGCATATTTTATAGCAAATAAATGGTCTTCAGTCTTTTTTTGTACAAAGACATCTCAAAATGGTGAGAAAAAAAAAACACTTACTGTAAAATATCTGATATAAAAATTTAGGTACCGTACTTTTGTTTTTGTTCATGCCTATGGTAACTCCTTTACCATAGGCCTGTCTCCTACATAGCTTAAGTTTCTCCACTTTTTTGTTGCTATATGAAGGGCAAAACCTTATCTACTATGTATCTCAGTTAAAAATCAACAAATATTTTATAAATGAAGAATTAATAGATTTCTTCTTATATCAAATTTGTGTTCATCTTTGTTTTGCAAATGTTTACATCACTGAAGTACTGCCTTTCCAATTGTCAGGATTACCGGTACATAATGCAGGGTGTCCCACGAGTTGAGGCACATATGAGGTGATCATAATTTAAGTCATTCTGATAGTATACACTTAAGTTGTTTTTTTGCTTTAATTTGGTAGAAACTGAGGTGGCTTAAATAAATAAATGTAAGGCAGGCTAAAGGAGCTTATCTGTACTATGAGAAATGTAGGTGTATCACATAGGAGATGGTCACCAAAATGGTAAAAATGAATGAAATGTTTTTAACCCCTGAAAAAAAAAAAAAAAAAATATACCCATATATAATGCAACCAGTTACCAAAAAATAAAATGCCTCTTCAAAATAAAAAAAAAAATTACCTGTGTATAGTGTGACCGCCCTCATAAAATCTGGCACTATACAAGAGACACTGTTTCTGTGTTATAAACAAGGTAAGGACGATCGAGTATGAAATCTGAAGATGGGAGAGAGCTGTTGACTGCAAATGCGAACCTATTGATTCATCAATGCACTCTTAATATTGATAGCTTGTTTTTTTTTTAATTGGCATTGTTATTGCAAACAACAAAAAACATGTTGGGTTGAATGGAAGTTTCCATCTCAACAATCAGAAGTCAAATGACCAAAATCAGTTATTTACGCATAGGCTCCGAGTGGCACTTCCAGTAGCGTGGAAAGCATTCAAAGTTATTAATTGACCACTGACAGCATTTCCCTGTCATTTTCGAGGGACTTTTTTGTGAGCCAACCCTTGCTTCAGGGAAGCTATAGCTACAGACCATAAAGCAAACAAGGGTAGCTGGCAAATGGATTACATGTTGTCAACTCAATCAATTTACTAATTCACTGAAACATTTCATGCTTCTCAAATGTAGTAAACAATGAATCCAGGGTATGAACTTACCCCCTTTCAAGACGTTTTAAACACACCTCAATGTGTTTTGTCTTGGAACGTTTTCATTTTCATAGATTTTTAATTAACACACCTCAACGTGTGTAAGTTATCTCTTCCCTTTTAAATGTGTATATGTGAACTTACCCTTCTTTTCAAGGGTTTTATTCAACAATGTATAAAATAGCCAAATAAATTGTTATTTGTTGATGAACAAATCCTTATCTTCTCACTTATGCCTTGCTTAATCACTGTGCTGTACGTTGGGACAGCACACGGAATAATTAAGAATCGCTGCCACTATCTTATACGAGTTAGTTACAAGAGCTAAACGCTTTCTGCACCCCATAAGTCAACTAATTCCATAACATGTTCCTGAGAAAGTCCACTATTCAATTCTCAACAAACGTAAACGAATAATAATACCCTGTAAAAACAGTTCGTGTCGTCAATTATTATGCAATTTAGGTTTCTCAAGTGAGGAATGAAATAGAAAGATTAGAAAAAAGACTTAACACGAACAAAAATCCCGTCTTAGTTCTTAAAAGTTAAAACGTATTGACTTAATTAGTACGGGATGAACATACCATTATCAAAATTTTTGATAATGGTATGTTCATCCCGTACTAATTAAGTTTGTTTATAAAACCTTTTAATTTTATGTCAACAAATAACTAAAATTTTCTAAATTTCCATTTAAAATGTTGGCTTGAGAAATAATTATGAAAATCTTTTCTGCAATATTTTTCAAAACAGGGATTAAGTTAATACTTTTAAAAATACACAATGTGATCTTCAATTTATCATGCCCTTGGAAACTAAGAAAAACATGCTGGACGAAGTACGTAAAAGTCAACAGATGACATAACTTAAAACTAACAATGTAGACAAAAGAAAAAAAAAGGCTTTTTGCATTTAAAATTCCTTCCATAATATATCTTAAACCCGTATCCAATGAAACGCTACATAAATACCGAATTATCATTTGTATAAAGCTCACCTTCAGCAGCCAGCTTGCGCGACGCCATCTTGCCTGATGTGACTTTTCTATTGAGGATGATGGGAACAAGAAGTCAGATTATCTTTTCTTTTTTTTTTTTAATTTATATATAACAATAGAAATAATATACAAAGTAAGATAAAAAAAAAATAATTAAGTAATTTTTTGTGTATTTCTTATAATTTTAAACTTGGCTTTCAAAAAGTTTATACGTAGATCACGTTGCAACGAGATGTTAAAACTTTGTTATAAGATTATGGCAGCTGCCTTCAGTTGGTGGGCGTGTAGATTATCGTCTGCTAAACTATGCCCATGGCAACTGTAACGGTTAGGTATGTAATATTATTATATTTACATTGCTTTCTCTTTTTCTGTAGGCCTTTATTTGTTCTCGTTGTAATAATCCTGATTGTTTCTTAATAATTTTATGTCTTGAAGTTGTGGAAAGATATTTCTGTTTTATATACCGACCAAAAACGCCAAGCGAGAAGCGTCATCAATGGAGAACTCAGAAAGTGAAATCAATTTTCAAAGCAGTAACCATAAATAAATAAATTAAACAGTAGAAACATTGTTTTTAGCAGCACGTGTAGTGATTAAATATTTAATTTATAAAAACTGTGTTTTTGTTGCTTACAATAATATTTTCCTCTTTTTTTAAAGTTTAAAAATGCAAAAAATGTCGTTGACCCCAAACTGAGGAGATGCTACTTAGATTCCGTTCGTAAATAAAAATCTTTGAATGACTACGAGTTCGTAAAATTGTTTTAGACATAAAATTACGCAATCTGCGTAGGTGAAAAAAAAAAATCAAAGATTTTATTTTAATTTAAAATCACACATTTTTGTTAAGTGTTAAAAAAATTAGCAATAATTATCTATTTTTTTACGGTCTTTTTTTGGTTTTGACTTTTGAGGTTTTGTTTTGATTTTAAATTTTAAACCGTAAGGCAGGGAATTATGACAATTATTTACCTTGTTGCATATTGCAATTAAGTTCTAAAAAACTTGGATTGGAATAATGAATGTCATCTTAATATTTAAAATAGTTTTTATTTTTACGGCGGGATTTGAAAAAACGAAGGAAAAAAAAAAAAAAGAAAGAAAAACGAAAGTAGATTAGAATTATGAAAAAGAAAAATCTATTAACGACAATTCCAACTTCTATCATTTTTATGATTTTATGGTACAATTATTTGGTCGTAGTGCGCACGTTTCCTTTAAACTTTAAAGTCTAAACATTTTATCTTTTTTAAGTAACTGATTAAAAAAAATTGAAATTTTTCAAAAAATGAAAAAGATTTTTTAATGTTTTTGTTTGTTCATTATGAAAACTTTTACAAAAAAAAAAAAAGGAAGCGAAACTAACAAAAAAAACCCCAAAAAAACAAACAATATTTTCTTAGTAAAGTTGCGCAATATGGTAAAATCCAAGCGTTTAACTACAAGTCGCGCCACAATAGAAATTGGCGAAGAATTAGAAATATTTCCGTTGCAAATGTGTCACATTGAATAAGTGACCCGAAAAATCATCATATAATGACATTTATTTTTATTTTATCCTTTTTATTTGGGCGTGATTTTAAAATTCGTCATTTGTTTAGGAAATTTAATCCAATACCAATTCTCTCTTTTTTCCCCTTCTCTTGTTATATATATATATATAAAAAAAAAAAAAATTACATGTCAAAATAATAGTGTGCAGATCACAACTGCGTGAGAGAAAAAATAATCAATAAACAGCTTCTCTGCTAAACTGCTAGTCTCTAAAATTAGCTGTAATGTCTGCAATAAATCTTTTTTTTTTCTTCTGCCAAGAGATTTCATTTAAAAAATTAAAACTGACATATTCTCTTGCTCTGTTAATCGAACATGATAAAAGAAAAATTTTTCTTTCTTAAATTTTTTTTTATTTTTTTATTTTACGTCTGTTGCAAATTTGGTTAAGCTGCTTTTCTCGCACTTTTTTGTCTGTCGTTTCCATAACGAATTACAAAAAAAAAAGAAAAAGAAAAAAAGGCTTTCCAATAAAATAATAATAGCTTTCAATGTTTACACATCTATCAAGGTCTCTTAGTTATTTATCTTTTAATTCCACATAGTTTATCGATTTCAATTTGCCAAGGGTTGAGGGAACTTATTTTCACGGTTTATACTTTATAAATAATCTGAGATTTTTCGCGTTCTTTTCTTTTTTCTTACAACATTTGTAATTTCTTTTCCCTCAAGGACATTGGGAAAATACTTAGTTTTACTTTTATTTTATTTATTTACTTTTTTTGTTGGATGATAAACTGTAGCAGTCATGGTAGTCAAAAAGCTAAACATCCTTGCATCACCATTTAGTTGATTATATTTACCAACAAACTAACAAAGATATACATTTTTTTTACATAATTATATATGTATTAAAAATAAAATAAAAGTATAAATTTTGTTACTTCTTAAAAAAACAATGTTTGTGATTACATTATTTATTTTTAACTTAAGTGATAATGCAATTTTTATTTTCTGTTATATACATAGTGGATGTCTGTATAATATTTAAAAATGTATTTTGATTCCAAGTTTTGGTGCAGCTAATTCTACTATCAGTATTACTTTACCTGCTTAATGTAGAACTACAAGAACCTGAGTCTAATTAAAAATATTACAATAGTTGACTGAGATGACTGCTAGCATCAGGTGTATACTTTCTACTACTTTCAGCTCTAGCAGCAGATTCAAATGACATAGACTGGAGATGTCAAATTTCAATGGGAAATTTAAGAGGTTACAAAGTTTGAAGGCATAAAAATAACTTGCTTATATACGGGCAAGCCTAGTTGGGGTGGTAGCTCTAGCAAGGTGAAAAAACCGAGATGAAGCTGTTACAAATCCTAAATAAGAACAAGGACTACTTCACATTAAATAAGTACTGACAACTGACTTGACATTACACCAAGTTGCTGCATATGTATGGTTTCCACAAGATTCACAAAATTGGTATTCTGTTGTAGCTTATAGTAAGTTGCAGGGTCTTGGTATATCACCCACTGAGCAGATTCAACACACTAACAGAAGACCTTGTTGTATGTTAAGTACCCAGAACCCTTTGTGGAATTGATCTGAGTGTTTCCCACCCATGGCAATTAGATGTTAAGCTTGGATGTAGTGAGCCTGTTCAATAGAGGCACTATTGGTGGTTTGAAACTGATTGTCTGTGTATGGGCAATATTCTTCCAGCCAGAATCTGACATATACCAACAGGAGTAAGGCTTTGCTATGGGTTTGTCATTGTCACTAGTGATGGCAAACAGATATATGGAATACTTTGAGGAAATAGCCATAGGAACAGCACCAGTAAAGCCAACAGTATGGCTGAGATATGTAGATGATCTCTTCATACTCTGGCATCACCAGGAAGCTGTACAAATACTGCTGGAGCATGTGAACTTTGATCCAGTTCGCAATAGAAGAAGAAAACAATAATCAGTTAGCCTTCTTGGATGTACTGATAACTTGCACAGTGAATGGATTTAATACATCCATAAATCACAAGGCAAAATTCACCAGATAATTCCTTAACTTCATTTCTCACTTATCCAGTGAGATCATCCAATGGGTAAAACACTGCATAATCATAAGTGGCAACCCAGATACATAACAACAGAACATGATCAGCACTGAATATACCCTTCAGAATAATAAAAGCTTCTGCAGGTAGAAACAGAAAGGCCAAAGAGGACTGCTACAGTCTCTTTCATACATTAAGGGCTTATTGAAAAAGGTGATCAGTGATCTATACAAAATCAGGACAAGAAGGAGCTTGACTCTAGAGAGAAATCTCTGTCAAGTCAAGCCTAACACATGGCCAAGAACTATATGTATTCCATCTCTTGCAGTTGTAGCAAAGAATATAAAGTTGAAACAAGCTGTCCTCTAAAAGTAAGGCTGAAGGAATATTGAAAAGCTATAATTAGAGGCAAGACAAGACATTGAAATCAAACATGACTAATCATGTATGGAGGGAAAAGAGTAATCATCAACCCTCATGGAATGAAGTAAAAGTACTAGCTAGAGAAAAAACTCTGGTGAGTTAGACCTGAAAGAACCAGCATATATATTAAGCTATGAGGGGTCCTTCTTAGTAGGTCTAGCATAGAAATAAATAGGATATGGGAGCTGTTAATAAAGAAAGAGAAATGACCACATGGTTTCAACAGTAGAAAAGTGAAACCTCTTTGAGTCAAGAATGATGAGCAGCAGCAATCTTATCAGTAGGTAGATTAAGTTTAAGGCTCAGATTTCTATGAGTCAATAACTTAGTGAATTAAAGCATTGGTTTGTAAATTTAGTAACATAGTAATTGTGAGTTCAATCCCTGGGCTGGGCAGTGCATACGTAGACTCAGTGGAAAGAGGGGGAACAATAACTGAGCAGTAATGAATAAAAACTAAAAGAGATCTTTCTCTAGACATGATCAGCAGAACAAGAACCCTATACCCTTCTAGATTAAATAGTGGGTTCAGTTCAAAATTTCCTGAAGGTTCCCCAGATCAACATGCACCTGATAAAGGCTGGAGGGCACAATGACTGAGACATTTTGTTATAATAAACAATAAAGGTAAGGTCAATAGTTTGCATGTAAATAATGTAAATATTGCTTTATATACATTTTATACAAAAATGTATTTAATGAAGTGTAAATTTATCTTTTTTTGTCTTTTTAAGAATGAGTTTTATAACATATATTTATGAAAAGGTTCATGGTTTAGGGGAAGAAAGGTTGAAAATATTTTAAATGATTATAATGCATTCTGTTCCAGTGACTAAAGAATTGGTGATAGTCAGATTGGTATAAAAGTATTTGCTACTTTATGGTATAGAGTAAGAAATCTTTGCATAGCCATATGTTTGGTTTCTCATTTCCTCTAATTTTTCAAAACTAATTAAATTTCTTAATTTAGTTTTTTGCACATTGAATTTCAGTAATCATTAAAAACAATCAAGCTTTCTCTTACATTTTCCCCCACTTCTATATAATGAAACAGAGCCTTTCTACATTTTTACTATTCATTGTTTTTTATTCAGTTGAGCTAGCTCACACATTCATGAGTCTATCACACTAAACATTGTGGTCCTGTATCAAGGTCGGAAGATCATCAGGGTGGAATTATTTGTCATAGCATAGCTGCTCAATGTAGGTAGTTGCTGGGTGACCAACCTATCTTGTGCCAGGGCTAGATGTCCAGAGCTGTAGATCATTCGCAAGTTCTTGTTTTGCTCACCAACAATGTCCTGCAAAGCACATTCTGCATTTACATAAGATTGTAGAAATATCAAGGATGAGTTCATAGAGCTGTGATTTAGTTGGATGTTGTCTCCAAGAGATATTAATTATATCTTTCAGCATCCAAGTGTAGGCTCCATCAAGCTTAGACTCTAGGGTTTTAGTCAATGTCCAAGCAGTAGCACCATACATTAACACCACCACTACACTAGCTGAAAAGAATTTCAGTTTGAGGGTGTCTGGTAGATCTGATAAAATGGATGCAATCTGGAAATCTGACTTACATTGTACAAGTGGGTAACCATCCGCTTCATCATAAAAAACTGTTAAGACAAAAATTTAAAGTTCTCATCTATGACTAATAATTAATAATAATTGTTATATGAAAAGTTGTATCATCAGTTGTAATCTTAAAATATATAAATTAACTTCATGCTTTTCCTTTGTGGAATGAATTACACTTTATATGGGAATGCAAATTTATATACTGTCCTTATTGATAGTCATTTAATGTATTGTAGATGACTATGTATCTATATATTTTTTCTTTCTTTCTTGGAACATGTCTAATAAAACTATGAATAAAAAATATGAATATGCAGGTATCATAACTGTGATATTAGTAAGCAGAGTTCAACTTCCTGTCTGGTCTGTGTTTGTTTCCAACTAATGTCCTTGAGAAAGGCATGAATTCATCTCTTCTCCCCCCATGTATGGGTTAGGCTGGATTCTTTAGCCTTTGGTGGCAGCCAATCTAAGAGAAGGAAAATTGAATTTCAAACCATGAAGAAGGTAACAAGAAAACTCCACTATTTTTCACAAAAAAGTCATAGAAATGCACACGCATTAAAGAAAAGGAAGCTGTGGAGTTGTGATCATTGATGTTGTGAAAAGACATAATATCAAAGAATTAATTAATAAAATGCTTCCACACTTCATTCATTAGATTTATCATGAAGTGTCTAAAAGTCTGTTTACACTCTGGCACTACCAATCTTTTCCAGTAGTTATTTTAATCAGATAGCCATAAAGAATCTTGCTTGTTGTGATTACTTTGTTAATAATTAGGTACTGAAAATTGTAACCAGAGTTTAGAGCAATTGTTCTTGACCATTTTTTTAAAAAACTTTTTTGTACTTTCACCATATTTCAAAATGCCATTCCCTTGATTTCAGGATTGACTCAAAGGGCAAAGTGTACTGTGTAGAAAGATCAATATTTCAATGGTATGCTGATCTGTGGTTGTAATTTCCTCTGTTGGAACTTTCTCACAGGACCTCACACGAAATTGCACATGAAATTGGTTGAGAATCACTGCTTTAGAAACATCTAGTGCTTTTTACTCTAATTGCAAAATCATTAATTGGCTTATTTTAATGTTTTCTATTTGTGGAATCTTGGTATTTGAAAACAAAATGTGGGTGCATTTTCTGTTTTTTAATTTATACAAGGTCTTGTTTTATAGATATTACTTTCCTTTTAACATATCTTGTTTGAATTTTGTCTTTGTACAGAAAAATATTTATAGTAAACTTTGTTGAGTCTTGAAGTTTGTTTTGATAACTTGACTAAATATAATAAACAATAGCATGTGGTGCTTAATTTGATGTAGTTTAATGTTTATTCTTTATTAGAGGTTATTCATATCTATATTGTTAGTAGCTTTGAATTAACTGTTCTCATTGTTTTAACATCCGTTTGTGTAAGAAAGATAATTATGTGTTTGTTGGGGTATTTTGAATCTTTCTTGCTTATTTTAAATGTGAATTAATGAAAGTTGTCATTGAAGGTAACAAGGTAATCTGTTGTTGTTGAAGATAACATTTTAAAATGGATGTGATCTGGAAAATAGCTTAGTAAATTTCATTTTTGCTAGAGAAAGCTATAATAATTCTTAACAATTTTCATTGCACTAAAGAGGTCAAGACATTTCTTTGTCTTTGTATTAACTGATATGGCTTGCATAATTTTAGTGGTTTCTCTCTCTCTCTTTCTCTTTATGATACATTGACCTATATTTTGGTTCCTTTCATTGCAGGTGATATTTATGTATAAATTGAAAGACTTCAACTTAACATTGCTACTTAACCCATTAATACTGACTGTCCCATTTTTGGGGGATGGTGGACATTAATGGGTTATAGGTATTATCCTATAACTATTATCAGATTTATTTATTATTTATTTTTATTTCTCCAGAAACCTAATTAATACTGGATTGTATAGTGGGCATTAATAGATTAATAAGATATTGTAAAGTTTGAAAACTTGAAAGTATAATACTAGCTCATTGCCACAAATAATGTGGTGATGAGTGTTAAATCTGATTTGAAAGTTATAATTTAAGCCATAAATTTTATGAGTTTATATGTAAGATTTGAAAAAGAATCAATCTTTATTTTATTTAAGTAAGATAAACTCTACCATTTAATAGAAGTGTTTTAATAAAGATTATGTAAGTTTACTTGTATTATGATATATAGGTGTTTGAATCAAAGTAATGTTAAGACTATAAATACTGAATACAAAGCACCAAATATGCTATTCTCTGTAACATTGAAGAACAAGTCAAAATTCCTTACAAAACATTATCTAATTTTTGAGTTCGAGAAGCTATGAAAAATATGTTGATTTTTTTTTTTTTGCATAATACATTCACTATTCATTTGTGGTGAAGATTAAGATTTTACCATTTAATAGAAATCTGTTTTTGACATTTGTATGTATGTATGTATATGAGAGAGAGGGTGGACACTGAGATCAACATTGAGCAGTGATAGTCTGTTTTGTACTTGAACACAATCTTCAAGCAATGTATGTTGGATGGTAACTTGGCTATTTAAATATGCTGGTTAATGAGGCATTATAAATAGCAAGGCCAGGTATTTCTGGTTTATTGTGTTATGTTGATCTTGCTACCCATAATGCCCCATTGGTCAGCATATATAAATAGTTGAGCTACCATCCAACACATATGGTCTGAATATTGTATTCGAGCATGAAACAAATTGTTGCTGTTCGGTATTGACCTCAGTGTCCACTATTATATTTACATGCACTCTATACCTTATATTGAACTCTTTTACCCATAAATATAGCATACCTTAAAACTATATTTTTTATCATTACAATGTTTGATATAAGGAAATAGATTGATTTTTATGAATGAACAATTATAATCATTATCAGAATGACTTGCTTATCAATCATTTTTAATCAATAAGTCATCTGATCTTCTTCTAGAACTATGTTTTAGTTGGACAGAAATGGAACCAGATCAATAGCTGATATCTTAAATATGTCTAGCATACATCTCATATTAGTTCAAATTGGAATGTCTGTCATATATCTTCACTCAGTTTCTAGTTCAAATAATTTTCTCTTTTTCCCTACCCATAATCCTTTTTACAAAATTGTTTCTCATATTGACACACATACAGAAATCTGAAAGCATAGAATTCTTGTTTTTGGGTGGAAAAAGTGTTTCAGACATTTATAGAAAGGTTAGGGAATATTTATGAAAAGGCTGCACTTGATGTAAACATATTAAAGAGATGGGTCAGTAGAATTAATAGAAATGCTACAAGGAGAAGTAACTGACCTTGGTGACAGACCAGCTGATGCTCACATTATAGCTGGAAGAAGACTTACTATTGTTAAACTCTGAAAGCTTTCAAGTGTTCCATGTTAGTACTTGCAGTTTAGTACAGTTTCTTGGATACTCAAAGGTCTGTCCAGAATGGGTTCTCAGAATGCTGAAAGATTCAATGAAGGAGCAGAGAGTGGGTGCAACATGGATAGTATATTTCTAAACAGATTATTCACAGGAGATAAAACCTGGGTTAACTACTATGAGCCAGAGAGCAAACAATCAGTGGAGTAGAACCACTTAGAAGTTTAAGGCAAGGCACACTATAGGGAAAGTGATGAACCCTGTGTTTTGGGACCAGAAAGAAGTTGTATTGTTTCTATCTAATGGTACTACAATCAATTTTGACTCTTATTTGAACATATTGTCAGAGCTCAAAGCAAGGCTTCAACCCTAAGACTTCATTGGTCTATTTTATAGGCTTCTATTGTTATATTTAAAGAACAAGCATTATTTTTTGACTGATGCTTGTCTTGACCAACTATTTCTGGTAATGAAGACAAATATATATGTACATTAATTATTTCAAAAAATGTAAAGGAAAGAACATAAATTCAGTTTTGATTTTTTATTTATATTTGATTAAATGAAGATAATATTGTTGCAGGCAGTTGAAAAATAAAGATACGGGTATTGACATCACTGTTCCCACCTATGAAGAGATTCCTGGATTACTAACAAAAACTACAGAATTCCAGGTTACAGTTGTGACCAACTTGGCTGTATTTAAGTTGCCTAAGCACAAAGAAACAGACATAGTGCAATTTGTGGTGAGTTATGAGTTTTTTTTTTTGTTTTTTTTTTTAATTTTGCATGTTGACAGTATGGATATCTAATCAATCAAAAATCTTTTAATTCTTTTGTGAAGAAATTTCAATCTCCATCTGTAAACTGCTTGGTGTAGATTTTTTTTCTGTAACCTGTGAAACAAAATGAAGATAAAGATGTTTGTTTAACTTTAATCTTTGGCAGAGTGCACAGATGTTCTGGTCCTAGACAGAAATACCAATCCATGTGTAAATATTCCACTTGTTTTGAACAGGTACAATGCTAGCTGAATAATGAAATATGTCATCTCAGTTTAGAAACAACTTGAGCATATTACTCTATTATTAAATACAAACAAACAATATTATGTAGAACCTTTTGCAACCATGAATGTTTCCAATTCCTTGAAATTATAAAGGCCTTGTTTATATAAAATGAACTTGTTGTTGGAAACCACTTCTTTATTCTGATTTTATACTGTTCACATAAATCACCAAAGACTGAACTGACTAATAACATTGTGAAAAAGAAACTTATAAAAAAAATTAATAAAATGCTTCACCTAGGATTCTTCAACAACTTTATATTCTTAGAATTTACTTGTGAACATATAAAGATTTGTCATGCTCATCTCCCACACATTGAAATGATAATTTTGTTTTTAAAAAATCTTAATTAATTTTGAAATTAACTGAAATATTAGAATAATGCTAGATCACATTAAAACAAATCTTCATATATTTCCCTAAAATATATAAAGAAAAGTGTATATCATTTGGGAGTCTTGGCAAGAAAAAGAAATATTTTTGTGAATTTTGCATAAACAAAGGAATTATGGGTAATTCTCAGCAACAATAAAAAGAGGAGAAGGCATAACTGGGAAGATAATTTTTATGAGCCAGTGTGGGAGTGAAATGGAATTTGTAGGCAATTGGAATAAATTGAAGCAAAGAAGGTATATTAAACTACAACCTATTTTAGTGTTGTTTGGTCATAAAATAAAGGGAAGGCTGTGGTTGTATGGCTCACAAGAGTGAAATTGGTTGCAAAGCTTCAGAGGAAACTCCTGACCTTTTAAGATTAAGACCCCTACTTTTAGAGTGAGATACTTTAATGCCCTTCCTCAAAATGAGTTACAAAGAGAAGGCCGATAAGGATATGAAAGAGTACATGCTAAAACAAAAAAAAAAAATCAATTTACAATTTTTATGCTTTATGTGTAGCTGGTAGGGATGAGATAAACAAGAGTGCCAGTGACTGTGTACACCACTATCAGGAGGTTGTCAGGATTGGTAGGCTTCATAGGTAAAGGGGTATATCAGATTGTGAAATTGGCATTTTCAATTAGAGAAGATTTCTCTAGCCCTCCAACAGGACAGATACTATGGATGTGAATGACTCAATAAACACTGCTAGGATACTGATGGCGTGTAGAATGCAAGAACATGAAATGGTAGAAACTGCAAGATAAAGCACAGTTGTTAGCATAGCACAACCCACAGAAGGCAAGAAGCAAATGAGAAAGTTTAGCTGTCAGTGTTTGGGGTGTAATGGACTGCACATACTCAGGAACTGTAAAGAACTTTCAACTGTTTGTAGTAAATCTGGGTGTATTGTGAGATATCACCCATAGGGAAAAGGACAAATGGCTACTCTTTTAGTTCAACAGTGGCATTCCACTATCAGCAACAGGAGCATTGGTAGAGAGAGAAAGCAGGGGTTCTTGTTGATATAATGTGTACTACTACATTGGTAACTAGGAAGAGGTAAATAATTACAGTGAAAGGGACAGCATAAAGGTGGTTGATGGAAAAGAGGTGAAATACAAAGTAATTGGCACCATGGACTTTGAGATATAAGTTATGCAAGTGATGGAAAGATAGACTTCCAAGAATTGAACAACTATATGACCTGTCACACAGGTACTGATACAATATAAGTGCATGGAGAAGCCATATGAAAACGATTGAAGCTTCTACAATTGTAGCCATGAAGTCTATCTGCAGATATATGTAGCAAAAAGATGATGGAAGTACTAGTTGGTAAGGTAGAAAGGAAAGAGCGACCATGAAAATAATCACTATTAGGTTTGAACAGGGGAATCATGGGTAGTAGTTAGAGTAAACTGAAAAAAAATCGTATCAGATTACATGAACTATTGATTTTGAGCAGATATTTCCTGTTCTAAATCAAAGGATTCATTTTTCTGATCTGGTGTGTGATTGAAACACAATTTGTCTATTGTTTTTAACAATGTATATTTAAATGGAAAATTGCTGATCAAATATACTGAATTTAAATATGATTAAATGGATGAGCTGGAATAAAATAAAGTTAATTGAGTTTTAGCATATAATCAGTTAAACTGATTTTATTTGAGAAGTTAACATTACTATGACAGTTCTGTGTGGGGGAAAAAAAAAAAGAAACCGAAGTGCTTAAGTAATGTAAAAATCAAATTTACTTGCTTATCTAAGAATGGATACAAAAAATGTTTTTAAAATGCTAATGACATTTTGTAATCTTTATCTTGTCATACATTTTATTTTTTAATCTTTTCATTACCATTTAATTATTTTCCTTTTTAAATTTCAGGTGGGAAAGAAATTTAGTGATTTTGAAGATCTTTACCTGTTACTTAATGAGAAATTTTCTGGGATTGCCTTTCCACCTCTACCCAAAAAGGTGCTCATCACGACAGATGAAGTGAACAGAGAACGCAGGGCAGCTTTGGATAGCTTGCTGAAATTTTTCAGCAAGACTCCCAGAGTTTCCACATGTCCTCTGCTTCTAGAATTTCTTGGTAGGCATTTCTTTTAATTCTTGGAGCTGATTTAGATTTTTAATCATTAATAATTTCTCTGCTTTGTAGGATGCCTTTGTGTAGAAATAAAAATAAACTGTATGTATGTATCTATGTATGTTGTTTATGCTATAACATTTAAGAAAAGTGAAGTGTTTGATAATGTAGTATGTGGCTCACCTCAGATCATGTCAGAATAGACTTTGCACTCAGTTTCCTTCAGAAAAACCAGGTACAGGGTTGACCTGAGAGGTGACCTCTTAGCTGCTGAGTGCAGAGCCATGAGATTGTTCTCGTTGTATGTTAGAGATGCATGCATGGGAAAGAATCATATGAGAAAGATAGATATATAAACACCCACCCCAGTGGTAAGAGGGAGTCTTACAATGCACACAAGAATGTAGACTTCATGTTTGGATGAGGGCTTGCTAACCACACACACACACACACACTGAAATTGTCTACTGTAACAATCTGAATAGGCAGAATTTGTTTTTCAGATTGTCAAAAATTATCTAGTTTGATTTTTCAGTAAGCTATTAGATTCCATATTGTTAAATTTCTATTGATATCAATTGATCAAAATGGAGGCAACTGTCTTATTGCAAAGGAAGAAAAGTATTTTGTAAAGTTAAAAATACAGTAATTAGCAAAATTTAATATTTCTACCTCAAAAAATGAATTATCAGAAGGACAGTTTTTCTATTGACACTGCTTTTACTGTATACTCACTTGACAATTTTTATTTTTTAAAAAGCTATTTTAAAAGTTTTAATAAAACTCCAGCATATGAAGCTGAATTTATAACTTCTCATTTTTTTCTTGAGAATTGACAACAAAAGAATTAAACATTATTTTATTAGATTGTTTATTTATAAGAATATAAAAATATGTGAACCAATTACATTTTATTATATAACATATTATAAAGAAATAACTATGAAAAATCTTTTTATTCATAAATTTATAAAAATGTCTGGATAAGTGAACAGCTTAAAACACAACTAAAAGTAACTAATTATAAATTTTGAAAAAAATGATTTTCCAGGCATTTCTTTCATTTGCTATTGCCACATATATTCACTAAAATAGTCTGCAAGCATCTGGATTTATAACTTTTTTTCTTTTCAAGAATTAACAAAAATGTTAAACACTATTTTATTGTTTAATTATAGTTATAAGAATAGTGTTTAATACCCTTGTCAATTCTCAAGAAAAAAGATAATCTCTAAATCCAATTTCATATGTTGGGATATTATTATTAAAATCCTGAAAATAGCTTTTTAAAGCAATAAAAAATTTCTATGGAAGTATACAATAATATTAGTGTCAAGAGAAAAACTCTCATTTTGACACACTTTTCTTCTTTTTTTGTTTTTTTCTTTTTTGGATATGAATGATAAACTTTGCCCAGTAATCTATAAGCAATTCATTATTTTTTTTAAATTGGTAAAATAAATTCCTAGCATAAAAGTAGATATTTGCTACCCAGTTCATTCGAAATAACAAATTAGCCTTCACTAAGGAAAATAAATTGATCAGATTTATTCATTTTCTAGCTCCTTTATTTAATTAAATTAGAAACTTCTTCTAGAATCAACTTATATTCTAGTTTCCAGAATCAGCAAATATGGTGGTGACAAATTATTAAAGAAATTTACTGTCATGACAGTTGTTACTGAAATAGTCAATAATCAAATTTTAATTTTTTCTTTGTTACGTCCAGGTGCTTCTCCCAGTCAAGTTCAAAGGATAGACTCCTTGATTATCAAAGATAAAAGTGATGACAGTATTGACTCTGGATTATCACCTTCAAAAGATTTTGTTGATGATAAAAAAAGGTATTTAGTCCTTTGTAATTCTATTCATATTCATGTTAAATGCTTCAAGGTTTCTTTCTTTATCACAATTCCCTGAGATTCTTAGTCATCTTTCTTCCCCCTCTTTGTTATTTCTTATCTTTCAGTCTTTTTTTAACTTATTTCTTTGACTTGCTCAATTCAGTTCTTATAATTTTTATAATGTTGCTGTTATATATAACAAACAATGGGCTCATGGTGGTGTGTTTAAAATGTTAGCATTTCAACCATGAAATCTCAGTTCAAGTCTCACCATGTTCAATTTGTCAATGAGTTGATTTTTTGATATTGTCCTAGGGAGACAATCCTAGCATGCAGCACCATTGGGAAGTGCCTGAAAAACATAACATAGGTTAACCCAGGTTTATGAGTGAAATTGAGTAGATTAAACTCAACTTTTTGCTACCACTAAGTCACAAGTCATCATGGCTGATGGTTTGCATGTACTGGCCGTCTATAATTACTGATCATACCAGACTATGTGTTCTTTTCCAGAAACTAACTAATGTCTACTCCATATAGTTGCAGTATAAGGCACAAGTTGGGTCTGTCGATGTTGAACCCACATGTACCTGAGCAGGCATCTGCTAGCCACTTGATCAGACTCTATGGTCTCCAGAGACTGATGGATGCCTACTTATAAAAGAAAAAAAAAACAATAAAAATAAGAACATGAAGTTTTGATATAATAAACATTGGCAAAGTCAGGATGATAGACAAGAGCACAAAACAAGATATTAATGCCTTTACAGATGTATTTAACACTATGTATTATTAGCAGCTGATAAAAACTTATTTAAAGCTCTTTTTATCAGTTCTCTTCTCTGATATTTCATGGACTAAATAATTTTCTCTTGCTTCAAGTATTTTAAAAATGTCCAGCCCTTTTCAAAAAAGGATAACATAAGTTTGAATGAAATCCCAAGACCTTTTTATATCTGTGGGGATGGAGAAGCTTTTTGAATTTAAACTAAATCAAGAATAATCCTTTATTATTCATCTTTATTGACATCATATTTTGGTAAGTGTATTCTCTCTGATCACTGAAATGCAATCTTTGTGTTAATTGGTTAATAAACATATTGGTTAAGATGAGAATGGTAAGCTTGTTGAAAAAGCAAGTGCTAGTTTATAGGAGTCATTGTCAAACAACAGGACACTGGACTCAACAAAACCAAATGAAATAAAGGGTATTATTGTAGCTCCTTTAATATTCAGATGTAACATAGAGATAAAGAAGGCTAGAGAGTAGATTGTCTGAAATCTTGTGTTGCAAACGTGATTAGAATTATCAGTAACTGATAAGAATACCTCAATATTTTATTTATAATTATTTTAATATCTTCTGATATTTAATCAAATGCATGCAAATGTCATAGCAATATTCAACTGTTTTTCTATAACTATTTCAATGTGACATGTTCTTTTTTTGCATGTCTTCAAATAGTCCAAGTGATGAATCTGATATCTTTGGTGAGAATGAAGATGACATCCATGACCTTTTTTCTGACATGAAAACAAAGACCTTCTTTGAAAGGAGAAACACAGAATCTGACCTGTTTGAAGACAGCCCCGAACACAAATGTTAGTTCCATTATTTTGTGCTATTTTTTTTGTTTTTATTTTTTATTCATTCATTATCATCATTTTTTGCAAAAATAGTACAATCCAATTATTTTCTTCTGTCAATAATCATCAGTGGTTGTAAAAAAAAAAAAAAATCTCAGTAGGACAACTATAACATTGTGTGTATAAAAGAGAGGATAGGTTAATGATTAGAAAAAAGATCTAACTGTAAAAAAAAAAAAATGACAAAAACAGGCACACATATTGTAAATGTATTTCTGAAATGCAATATATTTTATAGGGTCAGTTGACAGTTATAAGTCCTATGAAAAATCGAAAAAATGGAAGATGTGGTAGAGAATTTTCATTGGAATGTTGTTCACTGTGTAGGGGTTTTGAGTATCACATATGGTTCACAAAAAAAGTTCTTTCCTCCAAAATACAATTTAAATGTTGGAGCCAATCACAAGTGTTACTGCTAAAACAAAAGTATAACAGAAAACAAGGAGTTGTGTATCTTTACTGAGTACTTTTTAAGTGTCACATGTGGGTCCTTTTAGGACCCACACGCACTTAAGGCAGTAGGTAGGCAGCCAGAGAGTTCACCAGTAGCCCAGGGTCAACTGACCTGACCTGACACAAGCTTCAATGCCAGGCCCATAGCTTGCTAGTAAGTAGATGGTCTGGAAAAAAAGGCTGGAGTACAGAAATTTTCTGATTGTATCCTCTTCATTATTGACAAGTAGTCAGCAACAATTCTTTGTTTGGTACAATAAAAATGGCCAATACAGACCCCATTGAATTGTGCTATTTATTATTACAAAAAAAACCTTTTGCCTGATGAAAACATGGCTTTTGACTTTCAGTGAAAAATTGAGACAGTAGTGCAACTAATGCATATTGGCCTGAAGACAGCTGATATGGAGCAATGAGCATATTTAACCAAAGACTAGTTTGAGCCATGTATCTTGTGACAATGGCACACAAATATTAAATTTTAATATTGAAGAACCTCATTTTATTTTTTGATATTATTCAAGAGAACATTGCAGTAGATATGACGACAATCTATTTCAGTTTACTGAAAAGTTCTCAGGTCAACACATGGCTCAAAATATTGTATTTTAATGACCAAACCTCAGAATATGGATTTTTTTTTATCTTGTCAGAATACTTGTAATCCTGAACTGATTCTCCCTAAAAGTATCATTACAATATAAAAACAACATAAAAAATGACATAGAAACATTTTCTTTCTTCACTTAAATCTTTCTTTTAATTAAACCCTTTTATAAGCAATCAGGATTCAAGAAAGACTTGATTCTTAGCTACAATTTTACTTTTGTCAAAATGAAGGAAATATTAGCATATACTATGATGACTCATATGAATATTAATGTGCTTTCAGGTCATAATCAGCTTTTGACTTAATTACATTTTTTTTTATTAAAAAAAAGATCTAAACTCTTTGTGTTGAATCTTCAAAATATATTAATAGTGGAATTATTTAAAGATGGTATTGTAATGGTAATTTTCTATGAATGGCTAGATTAAAAAAAATTGGTAGCTTTATTTGCTTTGTGAGGAAAATTGTTTGATCATACATAATCACCTTGTGTTGAATCTTTTTTTTCTTCAAAATAACTAGCTGACCATGCAGTTTTGTTTTGAAATAGGAGGATTCTATCCAAAAGCTGAAATTTAAAAATAATGGTCATTGTCTTGCCCCAAAGTCAGAGAGAGAGAGAGAGAGAAAAAATCTTAGCTATTTTCTCCATTGTAAAAATGAAAATGCATTTTAAATTGATAGATATTATTTGGACCCTCCTCACCACCCTCAGCTTCTAGTCTAGTGTGTTCCAAAAGTCACGTGACAATTGGCAGAAAACATATACTTGTGAAATAGCAACCAGGGAAAATTTGCATGACATCATTTCCCATAATTTGACCAATAAAATTTCTTAATAATATATTGTCATATACAGAAACATGATTCCATTTGGTAAATAATTATAAAATCTACAAGGTTATCAATGGTACTGTGACTTTTGGAACACTCTGTATATCACAAGTTGTAGTTATTTAAGATGCTGAATTTCAGATTTGTAGAAATTACTTTCCTTGCTCCTTTTTCTAAATTTATTTTCTTTTTAATTTCAGCTTATGATGTTAAACTGTTTGATGAGCAAGACTACAGTGAAGCAATTTCTAAAGAGGACCGATTATTTTTTGAAAAAGAAGCTGCAAAAACAAAAATGAAACTGAACACAAAATCAAGTTTTGATACAGATGGTCTTCTGAAGTAAGTTTAGCTTATTCTTTCTAATTTGACTAATGTTTTTGAGGTGAAATTATAATGACATCAAAAGGGATAATTTGCTAAGACTAGTTTTCATTTAGATTATTACTACTATTTTGACAATTATTTACATAAAAATTATGGCAATCCCCATTTTATTTCTTGATATTCTAAGAGAACATTGAATACATTATCCATTTACGGATCAAGTCAGAAGTAATGTGGTGGTAGGAGAGTAAGAATTTTTAGTGTGTTAGAGACAAAAATAAATGAAGCTAGTATCAAGTCAATAAAAGGAGATTATTTTGTAGTTTAGATAAGTGCTGTGTTTTAAATTGGAAAAGGTTTAGCATGTACATTTGTGTACTTCTAAAATTCAAAGATTTCCTCATTAAAAATAAAGTCAGTCTTGTTAGTTTTCCTCCTCCTCCTCCTATAATTTGCGTATTTATTTATATTCTATTTGTTACTGATAATGTTTCTTTCACTTGTTTCTTTATCCAGCGTAGAAGATGATTTGGACCAACTGCTGAAAATAACCAAAAGGTCTAAGAGAGCTCCCAAAATTAGCAAATCAGCTCATGGCACTGATGAGAGACCCAAGTCTTCGATATCATTGTCTTCCCCTGATAAATTTGATTTACCTACTTCTGCTGATGACTTTATGAAGTATATTGAGGAAAATAGCAGCAGAGATGAGGTTGACCTTTTCTCTTGAATCTGTGATGTTTAAAATGATAAATGGAAAAACAAATGTATCTTTGCTGAATCACAAAAACTATTTTTTAAATATTAGAAAGGTCTACAGTAATTTGCATGCATATATATATATATATATATATATATATATATATATATGTCTCCTTGCATGACAAATTGTATTATCTTTTGGTAAAATGAAAATTTGAAAAACAAAACAAAAAGTAATTTTGTTATTTTTTATTTTTTAATTCCATTACAAAAATTGTTATATAATAAAACTTGGCTAAAAATGTTTTTTGGATCCTGCATTTTTTTTTCACTTTTTCAGAGAAGCTGCGTCTCTGGGAATCACTTCATATAATACCTGATTAGACTACCAAATGATCTTTCTGGTGCTTCAGAAATACAGCCTTGTTTGATACTGTGCAATCAGTAAAATGGATTTTATAATTTTATCTTTAGAAAAAGAGTTTATTCTTTATATTGTCATTAAAGTAGCCTGTATGTTGGATTAATTTTTCTTCCTTTTCTTTCAAGACAAACAAGTTGGGTGAGGGTAAGCTATTAATTTAGTAAAATGACTACTACTGCTACAAAAAAGAAAAATGTTGAAGCCAACACTATTTATTAAAGACCATTTGAAGCCAAAGACAAGAGATGAATGTAACTACCACCCATCACACAGAAGTTGCTGATCATACTAGCTGCATGCAGTCTTCCAAATTGTTTGTTTAATGCTGCATATTCTGGGTCTTTCAACAATTCTGTTCGATCCACATGGAACCCAATTTCGTGTCCAACTCCTGCTTTTACCTCTAGTTCATGACGCTTTAAAAGTGTTTGGGTAGATTTGGGTCCAAATACAAGCAAATTCAGCAGAGACATACAAAGATTGGATCCAAGAGCACAAACCTGGAAGAAAGACAATATTGACAATTTTATAGATTGGTTTTAACACAGTAAAAATTAAGAACTCAAAGTTTATTTACTTGCTATTGATTAAGTAGAAAAGGAATTTGTTTTTCTCTTTATCTTTGAATACTGACTTTGCTTTTTGAATTTTACAAAAGAAGGGAAAACGAATCATAGTTGGGGACTAATTGAGCAAAATGCTGTCATCATCTCACTCAAGGCTGTTTATGTTCACTTCATATTAGGTCACCTTTTGGAAAGGCATGAAGCAACTTCTCCCTGGACTGTCAAAGGCTGTTCCGTATGTGATAGAATATTAGTTTGGAAGGACTAGTTTAATTTGGGGTGGTAATGATACAAAATTTTTTAGAATAAAATGTATTATGTTTTCTGATTATCAGAAACTAAATTGAAAATAATAAACAAATGGATAATTTAGTCACAATGCAAGACAGAAATGAAAATTTTGACTTAATAGAAAGTAAAAGCATAAAGCACAATTCTTAATGTATGATAAAAGTGACTTAGTATAAAAATTAATGAGAACCTTTTCATATAAAATTCAAAGTGATTGACTAAAATGCATAAAAAAATGTGATTTTTAAATACAGTAAAATTTAATTAATATTTATTTATTTATCTATCCATTTTTAAAACTTTAATATTTTAGCTTTTTAATTTATTTTGTAAACATATTAATGATGCTTTTATTTTACTAACAAACATAAATTACAAAGTAAAAAAGACAAAAAAAAAATCATTTTGATCTAGGAATGGTTTGAAAGTTGGGAGTGGGATGAGAGATATACATAATGTTTTGTTCTGGGATGACAGTGAAGTAAGTCTGGAGCCTCAGTTCGTCTCCTTTTAATTAAAATAAATAAAAGGTCACTGGTAGTAAGTAAATCACTCTTATAACATAGATTACTTACCTAGACAGCAGTAACAACAACCAATTGTTACATTTATTGTCAACATTAGTAGGCCAATCATCATCACAAAACAAAGAATTTTGTAAATTTTCAAGTTTATGAACTACCAAATCAACCTTCATGAAATACTATAAACATTTCCTTTTTTTTGTCTGTATTTTTTCCAATTTTTAGAAACAGATCAGAAGAGCAAAATAAATACAAAACTTTTTAATTTATCAACTAAGTTATGTGTTCAACAAGTAGGAGGTTTCTTCCATGGATTTGGCTAATGTAAAATATGTTATATATTATTTTATATAAAACAAATATATATTTTTTTTTCTTCACTGGTACAACTTTGAGTTTCATGTGCCCAGCAATCTTCAGGTACAGATTGAAAACTCTTTTATTAAAGAATTATTGAATTATAGAAAATCACTTATTACCACCAAAACTCATTGTGATATATATATACACACACACACACACACACACACTGCATTTCAAGTTATTAAACAAGGTGATAATTTTCCATCCTATCAAAAAATTACTGGTTGAAATTTAACAGAATGATCACAATGTGTATATACACCTACTCTGTAAAAATTGTAAAGTTCTTGAAAAAGGAACAGAAGTTACGTTCATTTATTTAAATTATTAGTGTGTCAAATTAGCAAGGTGCAAGAAAAAAAATACTTTAATTGCTTCATTTACAGATTTTAATGGATACATACAGTAACTAACATGAAATAAAAAAGTAAACAGAGTTAAAAAAAAAAGGTAATGGATTTGTTTAATATGAAATATATGATCCTTCTTTTAAAATGACTTGGAAAAAACACTGGTCCATCAAACATGTCAATTTCGGGATCTACTCTGATGTAATTTCACGTGTATCACGTGAAATTACATCAGAGTAGATTGATTATTTCCTGCCATTAGTCATCCTTGCTTCCATTCTCATAAACATATCACTTCAGAATGTTCCACAAGTTTTCAATTGGGTTTAAGTTTGGAGAATTGACCGACCAGTTTATCTTTTAAGGTTCACAGGTATGCCGTAGTTTTATGCACTAAATGTGAAGGAGCATTATCTTGCATAAATATGATGATTCTTCGGAAGGTGATTCTTTGCTTTTTTAGCTAAGATTCCAGGTGTTCTCTGAGAAAGGCTCTATAAGCATCCACGGTTATTTTCGTACTGTCAGGCACTCTCCATGGACCAACCATGATATTTCCAATAATACCAGCCCAAATCATAATACCTCCTCCTCCTTCTTGGTGTGTCAATTGTTGATGACGATCTCGTCCATTTACAACACAACATTTGCTCCAACCATCAGGGCCATCAAGTGTTGCATGCCTTTCATCTATGAACAGAACTTTTGAGAAATCGACCTTCATGTTCTCCTTTGCCCATTTCAAACACATTTGTAGGTGTACTGTTGTCAATCGAGGCTTTGTCACTGGTGTCACTGATATCACAACCTTTTTTAGAAGATGATAGCGAGTACTTCAGGACACTGTTGCTTTTCCAGTGCTCCACTGGTCAGGCCTGGGTTATTTACAGCTTCTCATTTCATTCGTGACAAAGAACGTTAGGGAAACAACCCTTGAGGGATCCTTATCAGCCCTCTTACGTACCTTTGTAGGAGCTGCAACAAATCTTTTTCACAGTTTGGTGATATCTTCAAATTATTTTGGATATTTCTAATGTAGATTTGCCTTTGGAATGTTCAGATGTTATAACATCTTTCTCAGAAGGGGTCATTTGTGACCCATAATTGCATGATTATAATGACACTTGTTTAGTCTGGAACACTTCTATATTGTGTTAATATTGCAAATGGCCACCATTTGTTTCCTGTTGCACAAAACAATACAGTTTTTATACATCCTGCACATATACCTATTCCTATTATACTAATTCTGATTGGTAGTTTTTGGACAAAAATGAAAAAAATGTCACCTCACTAATAATTTTAAACATGTGGGCATGTGTGTATATATATATATATATATATATATTATATAAAATTGTGGGTTTGGAATTGCCACCATCCACTTGTTAAGATGGCTGACACTACATCTCTCTAACCTGAGCCGAGCTCCATACAAACAAATTTAAACCAACATGGAATTGTATCAACCTCAATATGCAAGGTAATCATTGAGAACACAGATATGATACATACCTTCAATTGCAAAATATGCTTTTTAGAAATGTGTTATTGTTAACTGTAAGAAATTCTGGAGCATGCGGCCACAACGCTAAGGTTGAATTTTTAAAAATAAATTTGTTTGCGAAGATGTATTTTCGCCAATTATATCATTAACTTCACTAATCTGTTTTTGTATGAATGATTCATGTAATATAAATTGAACTGCACCACATATTTGATTTAAAAAGAACTGATCCCGACGTGCAACTTCTGGGATAATAGCTGCGACATTGCTGCATTTATTGAACAATTTATTTCATGCCACATTGACTGAAAAAAACTACTACAACAAAAGAATTCTCCAATTTCCATATTAGTAAAAAAAACGCATTCTCTTTTAAATTTTCAAAAAATTCAACCTTAGAGTTGCGACCACACACTCCAGAATTTCTTACAGTTAACAATAACACATTTCTAAAAAAAACATATTTTGATTCACATCTAATCTTTTGTGTCCCGTTATTACCTGGATGTATTTAAAAAAAAACAAATCAATTTCCATGCCTGATGATGTCTGTATGAACAGATGAAAGTACTAGCAAAAAAAGACCTTATACATGTTGAATTTATTAAAAACAGGGATCACAACATTCATCTAGAGGTTCGTGGGTTAATGTAATTTTAATAAATTTGTTTGTGAAGATGTATTCTCGCCATTTATATCATTAATTTCCCTAATCTGTTTTTTGTATGAATGATTCATGTAATATATATATATATATATATATATATATATATATATACACACACACACACATATATATATATATCTCCATTAGGCTGGCGTAGAAATACAGTGATATGAACAGTATAATGAGAACAATCTACTATTTGAATAAAGGATTCAGTTAAAATTTTAAGTTACCTATAATGACAGAAATTTGAAGAAAGACAAGAGTACAACAGCTGAAACATAACAACCAAGATAAGGACAACTGTCCAGACAAAAACACTCCTAATTGTAGAATATTCAAAAGTATACTTTGCCCTGTTAGCATGAAAATATTGATATTTTCATGCTAACAGGGCAAAGTATACTTTTAACTGCTATCTCATTCTCTTAAAAAATATTTAAATAGCACATTTTGTTCTCTTTATATCAAAATTAACTGATAAAAGGTCATGTTGTTTCTTGATATCTTACCTGAATAAGTTGAAATGTTTCCATAGATTCTAGGGAATGTTTAATGAGATAAGCCATCAAGCAGCTAGCAGATGTTATGGTCTGCAGATGGAAATATTTGGGAAACAATTGACTTTGAACCTTACCAAACTGGTGACGGGGTAGAGTCATAATCATTGTAGGACCTATAAAGAAGAAATTTTAAATTTATTTAGAATTTAATTTTTTATTAGGCTTTTAACTTATTCTTATGAGTAGAAAAGGAGAAGGAAATGTTTTTAAGAATTATACAGAGAAATTCTTCAAAATAAGACAAGCAATAAAAATAAATCACTTCTTTTCAATGTCTGCTGCTAGGAAAGTTAGATTCTGGCAAGAAAAATTGTGTAGCACAACATAATGAGCTATTGCGCATATTAATAAATTCAACATTCATCAATGGATTGGATATTGTTACCATGTTTGGTCTGGTTCTTCTAGGTATCTAGAGATTTTTGACAGAATTCAAAGAATCTGCAATGTTATTCGTCAAACATCTTGGTTTCAGTCACTTTCCAAAATGCAGCTTCCCTGTGCCTTTTTTATAAATATTTTCATGGTAACTGTTCTGATGTGCATTCCTCTATGGTACCTTGACTTCACAAATTTAAGTGCAGTACTAGATTGGTAGCTGGGTCCCATAATTTCACTGTTGGAATTGTTAGATGTAATCATAAGCTCAATGCTAATAGTTTCTTCTGTAACTTTTGGTAGGTTAAACTAAAGTTGTAGTAAATATCAAAAATGGATCAGTGTTTTATTCTGTAAAAATAGTTAACAAAATCAGTGAAGAACAGAGAAATTAACAAATGTATTTTCTTGTCAGAGAATTCACAAGAAGATTGATAACCAAGTGAAAGGGAAAAGAACTGAAGATAAATAGATTTAGAGGCAACCAATTCCATCACCTTTGTTTCTTTTCATAAACTTCCAGCCAGTTTATTCTGTAGCCGCCTTCAAATGCTTGATGGAGGCATGGTGGAGTAATGGATAGCAGCTTGGATTGAGGAATCGGAGAGCTGAGTTCAAATTCCAGTCTAATCCATTACATTCACTTACATGCTAATATCCCTGGGAAAGGTATGAACCCTCTTCTTCTCCAACCAACTATGGATAGATAGCAGGACAGACTGAGTTTTATAGCCTTGGGTGGCAACTGGTCTAGGAGAAGGACAACTCTGAATTCAAAACCTGATCCTCCAGGTTGGGGGTTGTGCAGTAGGCTAACAACTTGATCACTTAAAAAAAAAGGCTTGTTATAGGAACCGCAAAGGCATTATATATATATATATATATATATATATATTCAAATGTCTGTGCCTAGTGAAGGGTGTTTTAGGTGTTATTCTAGTTTTGTGTAGGCCATATTCTTTTGTCATAGCTGTGTTGGGTCACACCTTAAATGTGGAGTAGCCTTGCTGATATTTTGCTGTTGAAACAAATAACTACCAAAGTCAAGAAAAGAATAAAGACGGCTAGAGATGTCAGTAAAATTAAGGTGAAGTTTTAGTTTCTAAAAATGAAACATGGCAACAAAGTGTATTTGTTACATGCTTTTTTTTCTGATTGTAAAAAAGAAACTTTACAAAAAGGCTGTCTCTATTCACAAGTCAGGAACACATCTTTCCTCTTTTATGACCACGAAAACTTTCAGTTTCTGTAAAAATAGGATTTAGCTGATTGGCTATTAAGGGTCACATGACCAGTCAAGTGAATGTGGAAGAGGAAAGAAAGTTATTCCAACAGTTGTTTTTCTGACTTGTTTATGGTTTTCATTTTTATCATGTTTTTGCTTTCTCATACCATACATTTGTCTGTATCTCTATCTTTGTTGTTTTTATCACATTTTGGAGAATATATTTTCTTGGCCTTCCACTGGCACATGCTACATTGATGTCATTTTCAGAAGGTATTTTGTACTTTTTACAAATCCAAAGAAAATAAAATAATAATTTATTAATTTCAGATAGCAATTCCTGTTTGAACTCCTTTTAACATTTCCAGTTCTTTGATAAAAGAATATTTTTTAAGTATAATTCCTTACCTCAAACTTGGATCAGATTAGCAGATATTAAAAAAAAAGCCATCATTGTAATTTTACCCTCGTTGACTACAGTGCAACTAAAATTCATTAACTCTAAAAATAAATCACAAATTTCACATTTTAATTACACTAGAAAAGAAAATTATTTAAAAAAATTCTTTTGAAGTATAACCAGGTAATGTTCCTGTTTTTGCATGGAAAACCTTCTTTGTAGCATTAAAATGAATTAAGTAGATTAATTAATCAAAGTAGGCGAGAAAAATCATGAAGAAAGGTTAGATTGAACAAAGATTAATGAAAAAAAGAACCAATTAAAAATAATAATTAGAACCCATAAATGAACTGTGGAAACAGAACCAGCAAAATTGATTTAGTTGGTTTAACTTAATCCTGTTAACTAAATTCAAGCGATCTCCCTTGAGCCTGCCTAGCCGGATTGACATGATAAATAGATTCTTAGATAAAATGTAAGTGAATCAACCTAATGAAGACTTTTTTATTTTGTATTATTCAACCAATTCTATGTGAAATTATAGGAAATATCAAATCTTGAGTCATGCCAGACTACTTGCCAGCATTTGGAGCATCTGGTTTTCAGACAATGGAAGAACCTTGGAAACTTAAGATTAATTGCAAGAAAGTAGTAATATCAGTGTCAAGATAAATGCAAATTGTCTATTTAGCAAACATGCAGGGGATGATAAGGATCAGTCTATCCAGCTGTTATAAGAGATACTTTGTTAGGCAGACTATGAATGAACAAAAACACAGACATAATTACTATACTCTTTCATTGTATCAGCATAAAGATAATTCTACAAAAATCAGCTTCTTTAATGCATTATCTAATAATGTATAAGATAAAGAACAAATAAAGAAAAAGAAAACTAATTATATCTTTATGTTAAATAAAAGTTGTAGAATGTTAACCAGGCATTGGGTCTTTATTGATTGTACAAATAAATTGAAGATATTCCATTTCAGTCAAAGAAATGAGAGGATAAAGTGTCTTCTATGCCATGCACAAAACCAAAGGCACAATGTATTAGATAATCTTTCAATTTGGGAGCTGTTGTGACTGTAAAAATCACCACTATCAATCATGCATAGGAAGTGATACCTGCACATGTTTATAGACCTAAGTTTTAGACATTTTTGATATTTTAAATGAAGACAAAGACCATTTTTTTTAAGTGATTACATATCTAAACAATGTTTGTAGCATTTACTTACCTGCAACAAATGAAACCCAGTGTTGGGTGCCAAAATTAAGTGCAAATGTGCCAAGGTGAAAAGCATTGAGTGCTGCCACACCCACTGGAGAAGTCCAAGAGGTGAAGATTTTGTACAAGACTCCAAGGCTAACAGTGGCCCCACCCAGAATGTGTGCATTGGTAATACTGAAATAAGAGGGAAAAAAAAGAGCAACATTATAAAGGTTTATATTTTTGTGCACAATTAACTATAAATTATTAAATTTTATGTGCTTTAGAGCAAATGCATGTCACGTTGCTCTAAAGAACCCATTTTTTTTTAATTATATAATTCCAAGCAAGGCAACCAGTAACATGAAAGGGGTTAATGAGCATGAAAGAATATAAGAAAAACATTATTAAGGAGCAAGAACAATAAAAAAAAAAAGAAAAAAGAATTTAAGAGGATAGAAGATAACGATTAAAATTGCGTTTAAATTTTTGAAGATCAAATTTGAGTAGAAATACTCAGAGAAATTGGGGATAGGCATACTAACAATTCCTCAAATATAATATTTGAAGAAACCAAAACTTTTCCTGTCAAATATTACTTTTTGCCATATCACGTAAGGTCAAACAGACAAGTTGAAGAGTTTGCGGGTACTTTTAAGAGAACTTTGAAAAAAAGCAAGTAATGAAAAATTGGGTGAAGAAGAACTATAAAAATTCTTGAGAGTTTACCAGATAACACCGAATCCCAAAACACTGACAGGGATATCCCCGGCAGAATTGATGTTTGCAAGAAAAATTAAATTGGTGTTTGACAAGTTGTTACCAGGTCAAAAGGAATAAGAATAGTTAACAAAAGGGACATATTTTTTCAAAATTGGCAAAAAAGTGTTTTCAGAGTCTATAAAACTGAAAAAGAAATGTAAGAAGACAGTGTAATAAGGTCATGGATTGGAAAAATGATAAATATAGTGAAAGGAAAAGAAATGCAAACACAAAAGTCATTGGAATCAGTTAAAGAAAAATTTTACTGAAGAAAGGCCCGCAATAAAGGAAAACCCTATGTAAGTGCTGTATGATATTTTTGATGTATCAACACCCCCACAAAAAAAAAATCTCAAAAGAGGTGGGGATGTTGTGGAGTAAATAAGACATTCCCAGTAACACAAATGCACTAGGCAAGATGCCTTAAATAAAGAACTACAAATGAGTCAGGAGAATTCTGTTGGAGTCAAGCAGTTTGCTGCCATGTTTGCAGCTGACTTGATGAAATCTCTGCCTCTGGCCAAAGGGGAACCCAGATGAGGATATGCCTATGGACAGAATCTTGTCTGGGGAAGTAGACAAACCTGATCTCGTGTATGAGGGGTCTACGTGGAATTTTTGCCTGAGCCTATGGGCTCTGATTCACTCCACATACAAATCGGCCTTGTGTCACACCCTGCCTTGTGAAGAGGTTGGTAAATTCCAGTCCATTGGGATCAGTCAGAGAGAATTCTAATGACTTCATAGTGTGTAGGCTAAGCAAGACATGATATTATAAATGTTAGAAGTGAGTTATAATAATCTTCCACTTTTCCAATGTGCTTTTGAATTTCAGTATCACATTTTCTTTTTGTCTGTTATAAACACTTCCCAGATTTCTATACTTGCTTCATTCTACATTTTCAATTTGATGCTTGCTTCTTGGGCTGCCCCTTGATAAAAACAATATGTTCTATCTTCTTACAGTTGTGAATTAGTCTGTTCTTCTCACTTTCCTTTACTATGCTAGCTTACATAATTGAGAGGAGATAGCAAGGTGATGAAACTGGGTTAACATTGAAAAGATTCCTTCTCTTGTTAGTTTTATCATCCAGGCTACTTTTTGTTATCAGGAATTGGAAAGTTTCCTCAGCCATCTCGGATCATAGTTCAATTCTTTTTTAATCAATTCACCCCAAGCAAGGTGATAATGCCACTAAGATGCAAGGGGCTACTGGGAGTGAAAGAGGAAACTTTAGAAGGAACAGACACCCAATCCTAAACAAGAAACAAGGGATAAACCTTTACTCCTGTTCAAAAGAGGAGGAGTATAAATTGGATGATAGGCAAACATATCTACTCCATAGCAAAACAAGTAGAATTATTGTAAAAAATGCAAAATAAATGCATTGTTACATGACCAATTGCAATGATTTTGTACTACTTGTAAGACTTGAATTTCCACCCATTATATTCTTTTAGAGACCAGTTGGAAATGTGCAGAATTATACTTCCTCAAGCACTAGATATAAGTCATACATACTAACATTACTTAGTTAATACCACACACTACTCCTCACATCCCCCCTCCCATCAAGTATCTAGTCACGTAAGCCATAGCTGAATTGAAGCAGTTTTTATGTAGTTTCTTGACTGCTTCTTGTGAACATAAGATACTTTCTACAAGTTTTTTTTTTTTTCCCCTCAAACTAGTAAAGATTTTTTTTTAATCATTTCATCCCAAACAAGGCAACAGAACCAGTAACATGCAAGGGGTTAATTAATGTGAAAGAATATAAGAAAAACATTATTAAGGAGAAAGAACAATAAAAAAACAGAATTTAAGAGGATAGAAGATAACGATTGACATTGCATTTAAATTTTTGAAGATGAAATTTGAATAGAGAGCAAGAAGCAAGCAGAGAGTTCCACAAGCAAGAAAAGAAACTAGAAATTATGGTTGCATTAACCATTTTGACTAAAATGACGAGATCTTACTACGAATCTAGTAATGCACTTAAATTCATAGTCAACGTGCCACAGAGTAGAGTTCATTAAGACATTTGTTACTGTTTGATTTTTAGACCAAAAAAGTTAAAATAGAGAATTATTCTTCTCTAGAAATGTTCAGTAAGGGAAAATATTTTCCCAGGAGTGGAACAGTAACTTTGATAATAATTTTTATAAGAATATGTCAAATGTAAATAGGAAGATTTTCAAGTTTCTCTAAACTTTAAGACTTTCTGCTTAATTAAAAATCTTATAATCATAATGGCTCGGAATTGTTATTCACAAACATGAATGATAAAATATCTATTTTTTTTTTTTTAGAAAGTTATGCTATGCCATGGGTTAAAGAAAGTGCTTAGAGCGTATGTAAAAGGGAACATTGACGATTGCGTTAAAAAAACAAACTGTTCGTTGCTGGGTGTTGACCTCAATGTCCACTTTATTTTTCTCTAATAAGTGCAAGACATATGTCTATGAACATGTGTGCAGGTATCAATTCCTATGCAATATTTTTTTTTAACTTCAGGAGTTTCAGTTTGTTAAAAAAAGAAGGAAAAAAATCATTGTTTAAGAATTTTTTTTTTAAGAAATAAAATGCTGAAAAGTGAAAATTATGACTCAAGAAAGAATACATACGTAAATTTCATATTCAAATTATTAGTCGGAATCGGACAAAAAAGGTCGCAATAACTTCTGTTTGTAGAAAACAATACAACAACAAATTTCAGCAAGCAACTCACGAATCAACCGGCAGGGAAAGTAAAAAAAAGTGGGAGTGACTTTGCTTTTTAGAGAGAGATATGATAAAAAAAAAAAAAAAAAAAAAAAAGAGTCAGAAATTATATAACTATTTCGGGGGAAAAGTAAATGACATCTTCTAGTTGCGAAAAAGTCAATCAATTTTTTTTTAAATGCACCAACCAGTTACCAATGTCTTCTCTTAACAAGTGGTTGATACTGCACATTTCTGTAAATTTTGAATGTAAATCTTAAGGTGTAAAAAAAAACAAAAAACAAAAAAAAAAAAAAAAAAAAAAACAACCTAAATTTATTGAAAGAAGACTTGTATAGCTTATACAAGTAAATAAACTCCTCAAAATGATAAAAATTAAAAAAAATGAATTAAAAATAACACGTTCGAAAATTATATCGAAATTAAGATTGGTATTTCTTCCAACTGCATATACTCAATGTTATTTTTCGTACAACGTCGATATGTAGATAAAAGGTACACATTTGGTATTAAGTTTAAGATAATTATGTTAGATAAAATGTGTAATACGAGATATTCGTTAAAAAAAAGAAAAAAAAAAGGTCACTTCCACTTGCGGCGAGTAAGGCGTTTTGGAATATGCAACGGGTCATGTGTTTTTGCAATTAATCACCAAAATGTGGGGCATCACAATTAAACTCTTGTGGAATTCATTATGTAAACAACTTGAAAAAAATAACTAAATTCGGTTGATTTTATAATTTTTATATCCTGTAGTGTAAAGTTAAACTTTAAAGATAACCAAAGACTTATGTAAGAAGGTAAACCAATTGGTATGGCAACGTTATCCGTCTTTCCAATAATACAGAAGAAACCTAAACAAAATCGGGGAGAGTAACCGCTTCTTTATAAAGTTTTTGCTTCGTTTTTGTTGGTTTTATTTTTTTTTGTTATCATTTATTTTTCGACATTTTTATAAGCATACATTTCGTATTTAGATTTAGTGCTCGGTTAAAATCAGAAACAAGCCCAAATTTACTAAAGAAAAAAATTATATTGCTAAATATTGCATTTTTTTTTAGTTTGTTTTTTATTGTTTTGTTGTGGATAGAGGTCACTAAAAATAACAATCACTTATTAAAAAGAGGAAAAAAACAAAACTTTCTGTTAAAGAAAAAAATAGTGAAATAAACAAAGATGCAGCATTTAATACTTACGGAACCATCGTGTTAAGTAGATATAACTATTTTTTTTTCGCGGACGGCAAGAAGAATGAAATAGCACGTTGTTGATTTGCTTAGTATTCGAGAGTTATCTTATCTTGTGACGATTCGTCAGAAAATGTAAGTACTCCTACTAAATGGCATTTGAAGCTCACTTTAGTCTGGTACAAGATTGGAGGTATTGCAAAATAGCAATTTCATAAGTGGGGAGAGATTCTTCTATAAAAACAGTTATATAATATAAAGAAGTTTAAAATTGTATAAAAATAATTAAAGGGCAAAAAATATTTACAATATAGACTAGGTTTGATTATTACACTTTCTTTTGAGAGGAATATTTAAAAGAAGAAAGTTACAAACACGGATCCTAAATAGAAAACAACAAAAATTAAAGCAGACGATTAGTAAAAATTTAATAAAATTTGATGTGTAAAACCTTGTATATATGGGGCTTGTAACAGCCTGCAGAGAGGTTGCCACATAAATAAAATAAGGAATACAGGAATATATTGACTGATTGACACCAAAAAATTGAGTTACAGCAAAGGCAGAATTCTTAGTAAAAAGGCCAAAAAGTTTTATCATTGGCAAAACAACCAACAATTTAATTACAATATATACATTTGTTGATTTGTAAGAACTGAAAGGAATCACCACCTTGTCGGAGTTAGCTCCTCCTTAATTCTCAAATTGTCACTAGGGGTCATTCTCCCTATACTATAAATACTGGGCGACTTCTCGCCTCGTTCTCTTTTTCATTTCTCCATTTCAGCGATTACAATGTAAGCTCTCTTAGAAGATCCGCGTCTTCCCATTTGTAGGAGACGCCATGAACATTATACACACATACACGTACGTACGAACATTCACCAAAGAACAGACACCGATGTTTACACACACACAAATGTTATTGTCCATTGTAAAATTGTTTCGTTAAATACATATATTAGTTTATATATATATATTTTGTTTGTCTTCTTTACATCTTCAATTGGACTTAACTTGAGTCCGACAATTTTTTTGTAGTTGGGACTTTTAATATTCTACCAAGAGTTACACACGTGTTTCAAATACAACAACACGCAAACACACAGACGGTCCTCTACGACCTGGTAAGGGGTGAAATATTAAAACATAAAAATTATTCCAAAGTGTGAATGTGTGGATACGATAATGTGGTTAATTAATTTAATCGTCGTGAAAAGAAGCAAGGTAATTAGATGCAAGTGTTAAGTCTTTGGTGATGTTTGTATGTTATAGTCATTGATGAAAGGATAAGTTAAGCTTGTTGCAGAGGTATAGATTATTAGGAGAATAGATGTATTATTTGCGTTGGCTACGTGAAAATAAACTTCTCCACAAACATTTAACTTTCGGTATAGCACAAGGCTATCAAATCCAAAATATAAAACAACGATATGTTTTCTAGAAATAACAAAACATTTTTATATCACCAATATACAAAGCTGAAGAATAAATTTACCCAGATAATTTAAACTGAGTTGCAAATTGTTACAAAGTGTATGCTAATGTAGCATATAATTAATAATATAGCAGGAGTTATTTACTTTTAAATGGAAATTCTTAAAGCCTTTTCAAGAGAAATATTTTGATCTGGACTCACAGAAAAGATTTCAGTTCAAGAAATAATAGTAAGTTTCAATGGAAAGAGTGTGTTCTTCGATAAGAAGGTGTTGTAGGCTGAAATTCGGTGTAAGATGAGTTCAAAGAAACCTGTTGCTTGAGTGAAAATGTAATCTTTACTTGAATATCGAAAAGTTTACTTAACTTGCACCTTAAATTGTTCACCGAAGAGAGATGAATTTGAGTGAGAGAATTCTGGAAAGTTCAGAATATGTTGATAAGAACTTTTAGTTCTAGAAGATTTTGAAGTAATATTTCTCGCTGGTGAATATTGACAAGAGGTGAAAGTTGTGTATTCTTGGACGTCATGTTTGTTGCTGAAAAAAATCTCACCGTTAGAAGTTGAATTAGTTTCTGTTGCTTGTAGTTGAAGGGGTGAATAATATTCGTTCGTAAGTGTGCATGCGTGTGTGTGCGTGTGTGTGTGTGTGTGTGTGTGTGTGTGTGTGATAGCGTCTTCAAAGCGGTTTCCCTTAAAGGGACAAACGCGATTTCTCCACAGATATTACATTTTGTACGTGAGAGAAGGCAAAAGAGAGGAGGAGTTGAAGATGTCGCTATATATTTATAATTTTGTATGTCATGTGATAGGCTCGAAACACATAGAGTTTTGGCAGTAAATTAATTTTAACCGTGCGAACATAGACGAAAACATGATATTATCATTAATTGACCAATCAGGAGTCAGTGAAATATCAAGGCTCTGTAATCCACTTTTTACAGATTTTGTCGATCGCGGTACCTTTACGTAGGAAATGTATTGAAATCTTTTTTCGTCCTTGATTCCGAATTAGATCGTAGCAGGGTAAGATCGGCAACTCACAACCCATATGTGAAACCATTTCGCGACTTTATCGACAGATCTGATTTAGTCGATAAGTTTAGAAATGAGCATCCTGTGGTAGTAGCATGTACTTGGACCAATAGGGGCGGCCCGGATACGGTAGTTCGTACGAGCTATATCGACTGGATTTTAAGAGAATCGACGTAGTGTGTCCAAGTTTCCATTCGCTAGTATTCTCGGACCTTAGGCTCGTCCGGGTGCGAATAAACTTAGGTAAGCCTAAGCACAGATTGACTGGTTACTGGAAGTTCAACACGTATTTGCTCAAGTTGAAGGATTTCCGCGACCAGTTATTACTAACCGTACCGAGGGAAATGACGGGGAGCGTGGTTGGGAATAAATGGTGGGGACATCTTAAATCTGTTGTCAGGTCATTTACCGCTGATTATAACCATCGGCTCAATCAACATAGATTAGCAGCGCAAACGGCAGCCGAATCTACACTAGAGGATGCTATCCAATCGGGAGAGAGTGCGGATGTATCAGTAGCTAAGACCGAACTAGCCTTCTTGCTTATCAAAAAAGACCAAGCTCTGGTAGTTAGGGCTCGTTTAATGAGAATGTCTGCCGAGGCGACGAACATGACCGCTGAACTGCGGCAAGAGGAGTTGCGCAGCGCATAGGATCGATGTTTTCCGTGTGTTCATTATCGGACGGACAACAGGTGACTACAAACGAAGGTATCTGTGAGGCCTTTCGGTCTTATTTCTGAGTGCTGTTCACCAGGGAGTCCGGACTGAGTTCCGCTTAGTTTGATACCTATCTAGCCGACTTTCCTCGTCTCGAGACGGTCGAAGCGGATATGTGCGAGGGGGGAGGACATCACTGGGGAGGAAGCGCTTAAGCTAGCCGTCCGAGACAAGAACAACAAAAGCGGAGGGGATGGGAGAGATTTTCGACCTTTGACTATGCTAAATGCAAATGTGAAGATTTTGGCGAGGGTCATGGCCAACCGTTTGCAGCTTGGCCTCTCTATTATTGGTTCTATTTGGTTCTGATCAGACGTGCTGTAAAGGACAGGACTATTCAGGACAACCTTCATATGATTCGCCAGATCATAGAAAAAGTCGACGGTGAAGCCGCGCTGAACAATTTGGATCAGTCCAAAGCATTCTATAGGGTGGACCATCGTTTTCTCGAGGCTGTCCTCGTGTCTGCTGGCTTTGGGTCGCACTTTTGCTCCTGGATCAGTCTCTTGTACAAGTTCCCGGGGTCTTTGGTAGA